AAATATATTTCAACAGTTTTTAGATAACTCGTATAATTATATTATATTTGCATGAGTAAATATGCGGAAGAATCTCTCGTCTCAACACGCAATTAAATATGCCAGTCGAATGATTGCCTCCTCGTCCGTTATAAAGCGGAATATGTCGGAGGGGAGCAATCCAGTAGTCCGTGTGCGGTGTTCATCGTTAGGACTCTCGTTGATCCACCGATCGTCGGTGTCCTCTCGAGTCTTCTTTTCCGTGCAAATAGATTCTCAGTCGTGTTTGAGCACGTAGCAGTAACACAATAACTACTTAGTGAGTAACAATAAAGTTGATTAACTTCCATCCTAAAGAGAAGTCGAGATCCGTTTCGATACATTTCAATACATAAAATTTGTCTAGACTTTTTCAGTAATTGGTATAAATAAATAATAATGATTAATTTTTCTCGTAATTTCACAAGTGGCAACGAAAGAGACTGCCTTCATGTCTTTGTATTAGCGAGACATCTGAAGACATTGAAATTACATCGGGGTTTCAACTTCTTTTAATTTCAATTATATAGTGCTATTATGGATTATGTGCTGTGAGGAGTGTGCACTAAAATATCCGCTAAAGATCGTGGTATATTCACGAAAGTTACTGCGTATATGAAAAAGAAGCTAAGTTGGAATTATTACAAATAGCTCTTGATCGGTCTGTATGATAATCGCTACACTTGACTCGAACATATATATAAGTTCCACTATATTGCTATAATAATTACATTTTTAATGCAGCTATCATGATTATCGATTCGTGTTCGTCATATCAATTATTTCGACATCTATCCTATTAACATACGCTGTAGTAAAGATATAATTTCAACGAACATCTTTATTATCTTTAACATGATAGAGAGCAAGAGATATAAATTCAGACACTGTTCTAGGATATAATATGTAATATTTACAGTTGGCAGTCAGACCCATACAACATTTATTCATTCATTTGACTTCAGATCTTTGATCCTCTAATTGCAAATTTGTTGACGATTTGTTGAGTTTGCTTTGGATTCTTCTCAGTAACAATTTAAAATATCAAAAATATAAAATGTGAAATATCTTTTGCATATAGTAATGTCTATATGAATGTTTTAAATTTAAATATAATTTTTTGAGATCGTATAGTTTAAGTTTGAGTTATTAATTTGCTTTTCCATGGCACATTTCGAGAAGTTGAATGATTTATCAGTTTTATAGCCTTCGCATGTGCTACGCATACTTGATGACGTCCTTGTGACGTCATTTTTATTGAATTCAGAACGATTTTATCAATACCAGGTACACGATCAGGATATAATTCGTGATTAACTTTGACCATGAGACGGGGGAATCCTCGCAATGTTGTCACGCTAGGTTGCAAACGTATGTGTTATTATATATTATGATCATCTAGTATGATTAACTTGTATACACATCTATTCAATGTCATGATTACCCAAGCAGAACTCATGCATTTTCACGCCAATTATAGTGGTGGCGCATTGAAATCTCCACACGTACTACGTTACAGTTCACTAAATGTCTTCGTAATTTTGTCTATGTCCACCTTTATCTTTAACATCTTATTTTGGTTTACCTATTAATTCCTACACATATAAAATACAGGCGAAAGTTGCTTTCAATAGTTTAATAGTTATCATAGTTATGTTTAATGAGCAACATTACAATGATAGCACGAATATATGTGATAGAAACATGCAGTACTTAAACAAAATATTTCTCATAGAAAATTTAAATACTCTTTCAGTTTAACATAAAAACTGTGCAATTTAACTAAGCACGGAAAAAGCGCGCGAAAATAAAATGTTATAGAATAGTACCAAATTGATGTGTTGAAAATTTCTCATACATTTGCTTCTCGATAGCTTGCTATTACATTTATGCTTAACATATTTGACATTACGTTAAATTGTAAAGTAAGTCTCTTTCTGGCACAAGTGTTAAAAAGAACAAATTACTACACTTCTAAAGGTTACCCTTTCATTCCGTACGATAACTGTTTCAACTTTTTTTTTACTTTACAAGTTTTTTATTAAATTTAATTATAGAGCACATAAACCGTGGCTAGCTGCATACACATCTCGACATTCTCGACTACATTTTTACAGTTGCACTTCCACCATGTTAAGAGAGATATTAATTATTAGTATTTATCTATTTATTCAGCATTAATAGGAAGTAGTAGTAAGACATTAATTTTAGTAGATTGTAATAAACCTTAAGAGCACATTAAATCACAAAAACAATTATCAAAGACACAAATAAGGCTTACCTGAATGAATTATGAATCGCACGTTTTCGGTGTGTCGTTTTACACATCGATAGGACATATATCTATGTGGAGAACACATTTGTCATATTTCAAAACAAGATTTACGTATAAATAATTCAGCAATACTGCGTACAAAATATTCTTAGGTATTGCCATTGCAGATAAATGATTACAAAATCACACATGATAATAATGTGTTAAGCACTGCAAGGAAATACGAGGAAGTCTATTTAACTATCATATAAATTAAATGTAAATCCTGAATGATTCTTATGTCTACATAATATACTGGCGATGCCCGCGATTATACATCTTGTTGAAGGTGGTTTATATATATTTTCGTGTGGTAGGTCATATTATCTCCCACGCTCATGTTAGTTAATTTAAAATTTGCGGAAGTAAAATTACATCACAATAGTCTAAAAGTCATCTAAAAGTCAAGTCTGAAACTTATCTGAAAGGTAGATTTTTTGTAGCGTTGGGCTGAATTTAGTGTAATATTTCGTAAGAATCTCGGTGAGAATCTTATATTTGAATCTGATTTAGGATGGAAATAATTTATTCATAAGTATAAACAAATAAAATTGTATAACATTATACATTTGTATTTTTAGGATACCTAAACAATTCATAATGTGGACTGTCGTATTAGTATTCATCGGTTTGCTGTGTGCATTAATACCGTCGACGCATTCTCAAGGTATGGTTTTTATCATCTTTTCGAACTTACGGATTCCATTATCTACAATCTCATCAGAAGCTTCGTTTAGGTTTTTCTCGTAGAGGATGTCCAAATGTCAAAATGTCATCGGAAAAATGCGTTTAGGCTTTATAGATATATACACTTTTTATAAGTATATTTATCTCTTTGCAGTATTAATCCTTGTTTAAAAAATTTGTAACATTACAAAGTAGGCATGACGGTAAAACAATTAAGGTACATGAATAAATTAATTTTTCCATGTCGACACTTGCATAATACTGATATTATTATTTATACGTAATAATACCTGTATTGTTATAGAATATCTTTTCGATCATGCTAAATCAATTTATTACGTAATGAACTTTTTATATTATCTTCCCGTTACATAAACTACTGGGAAATTATAGTATTGACGTAAAACGGTCCGAAGGCCGTAAATACGGCCAAGGCCAGATCCTTCAAATCGAGAGAACGAGAGTTTCAAGTATGTAGTCTGGCCATTGGCTGGTGAAGGTCAGCTATTACGAAATTTTATGTCTTCTTCTTGGCGGTCTGATGCTTCTGAGAAAATATGTCACCATAAGTTAAGGAAATTAGAATTACAATCGATCTATATGCAATCGTAGTTAGCGTGATGTAAATTGATGCGCACTTTAAGGTAAACGCTGAAAATTTTAATAAGAAATTATTTGTATCATACATTAGAAAAAACAGAACAAGTCGCATTATTAGAAGCTACTTCTTTTTGTTTAAATTAGAAATTTTAATTAAAAACGGAAGATGAAAATAGTTTGTATATTAAATAGTCATTAATATAGAAAAATTAATAAGTAATTATAAAAATCGTCGCAACTCTCTTTTCTAATATCAAGATTAATTAAATATTCTAACCGCAGGTATTGTAGTATAATTGAATCACCAAAGAATGTGCGGATGTGGTCGCGATTTTAGAATCGCTGTTCACAGAACAATTATCATGAATAAAAAATTGTTACGATTTACTGGGAAGAACTGCTCCGTTTCATACGCTAATACATTTAATTGCCTCAAAATACGTTTGATATAAAAAGATCGTGATGCAATATGCAATTTTGAAGAGTTTGTTATATAAACTCCATAATAAATATTTTGCAAATCGAATAAATTTTCTAAGACATAAAAGATCGAAAATCAACAACAAATGATAATATATTAATAAAAATGTCTGCTAATATATTTACACAAATACCTAGTTAAAAATCAATATCTTTATATATATAGAAAATCCGAGAGAAAATCTTATAAACGACATTACATCTTTGCTATGTATAAGAAGTATAAATTATAATCTTTTCGTTCTCTCTCTTTTCTGTTGCATAAATATCTGACAAACTTTGTCAGCAAACATATCTATTTAGCATTGACTGCCACGCGCTTGTCTTGTAAACGCATTCCATTGTACACGAGGTAAATCAGTGCCGGATGCTTTAAACTCGTCACCGATAAGTCATTGAATTTTAAGATGTGTTTGTGGCAAATATTACCTTTTCGTAAAACGTCATATTGCAGGTAGCATTTTAATAATTGGAAATCGTAGTGCGCGAGTGTTTAACGCGTAATATATTGCGCAGTATGATTAATTTATTATAAATAATTGCATGCGTTATTTCATTACGATCGCGATGCGGCCGTATAATAATTTTTATCGACACAAATTTCACAGTATAATTACCATATTGAGATCTTTAGAAAAGATAAATTCGCTTTTCAGAAATGTGCAGAAGGCAAATAATTATCGAAATATTTAACAGAAACGATTAGAACAAATTTTTTTTTGTACATTATTCTATGTTTTGTAGAAGTTTAATTCTATCTCGAATACTTGCTAACTCCGCCTCTAAATACATTAAAAAATTGGTCATTCTATAATAATAATAATACTTATTAGTAATTAAATAAAGCGCTTACTGGAGCTTATTATTCTAAATATAATAATTCAAATAATTCTGATATAATAACTGCACAAGTTTGCCGAAAACGCGTGTATTATTGGTGGAAAACAGGTATTTATGAGCTTTGATAATGCAGAAACAAATAATGAAAGTGCATGCAGGAATCATTAAATTTATATTCTTTAAATTAATGCAATATCCGATCAAATTTCAATTTTCTGCAGAAAATTGATCCAGTTTCAATCGATCTCTAATCAAACTATGACTATTGAATCATCGACCTCTTAAAAGATAAGATTTCACCTGAAATACTTGACTAATAAGACCTAAGAGTACCGAGACAATAAAAAATCAAACGTTTAATTTTATTTGACGATAAACGCGACTGACTGATAATGAACATAATTACCGTCGATGCTCCTAGAAATGTTTGTATTTTAAATATTTTTAAACAACCGGCTTTTATCGACGATATAAGAAATCGTTTTTGAAAGGCATTATAAATTCTTAAGCTCACGTTATGATTTTTTCATTACAAGCAAAAATTCTTGAAGCTACACCAACGTGTACCTCAAAAAGGGAAAGAGAACAAAAATGATTTTGACGTATCTCAAAGATGTGCTTGCGTTATCATTTGTGTATCTTTTAAATTTGAATTTTGGTACATAGGTAGATGCCAAAATCCGCAGGGACAACCCGGCACGTGCATCAGTATCAGATCGTGTACGTTGTTACTCAATCTCCTGAAATCAAACCCGTACGACCCGCAAGTAGGCAATTTTCTCCGTTCTTCCGTTTGCGGCTACGGTCCAGGTAACGATCCTTGGGTTTGCTGTCCGTCCGGCATTGACGGCGGGAATACAGGCGGCACGGACAACGACTTGGAAGGTGATCGAGACCGTAAAGAAGTTACGAACACCGCATATGGTCCTTTGTATCCACCTAACTGCGGATACAGTAATGTAACGATACGCAGAATCGTTGGTGGCGAGCCAGCCTCGTTAGGTACAAATAATTTTTGAAGAAATGTCATCAGTGTCTCAATTACACTCATTTCTCGATCTTGTCAAATAACAGTCTCAAAATTCTAATAAACTTTTCGAGACAAATTTATTTCAATTTATTGCAGGAATGGAAAGTCTGTTTTCTTGTTTTTACAACATTCAAATACATTTTGTATATAGGAGTTTTTTTTCCTCCGTTGAAGCGCCTTTTTACATTATGAATGATTGGAAGTAAAAGCCTTCTTCAGTAAACCAATATCGAGAAATGTAAATGATTTACTCCACATATTTCGTTTTAATTAGATTTTGATAGATAATAAAAAATCTTAAAGTTCAATATTATAATAATTAAAATATCAGTAATCTATTTATTTATTTATTGGAAAATTATTAAGGTGGCTTAGATCATTATTGTTCCAGCACTTGATTATCGCTGCAGTTGTCGATATAGTAATAGTCGATTAATCCTGCAGGTTCTTGGCCTTGGATCACCGTTCTCGGATACGTAAACTCGAGAAATCCAAATGTTCCGAAATGGCTTTGCGGCGGCGCTTTGATTTCTAGTCGACACGTGCTTACCGCCGCACATTGCGTTCACGGACGATCGGATTTGTACAAAGTCCGCGTCGGCGACTTGGATCTCAACAGTGATAACGATGGGGCGTACCCCTTTGAGGACTTTATCGAAAGGAAGACAGTGCATCCCGGGTACAATCCCAGGACCTATACAAACGATGTGGCGGTTCTGAAAACGACCCAAGAAGTACCCTTTACGGGTAAGCTTCTTTATATTATATAGATATATACAATTGCCCTTTAAAGGAATAAAAG